TTGGTCAATGGGCACTACTAATCATTGCTAATTTATTACTGATTATTTGAAATGCACCTTTTGTTCCCCTACGCTCTATATAGGTATTAAGTAGCCAAAATAGGCATGCTAAGTAAAAAGTTATATGAGCAATGTTGCTTTTTTTTTCAAAATTGAGAATGTCATGGCCTCTGGTTAAAGCGCGAACCACATTCAATTGTTTTAAAGTTTTTACATGATGTTCAGATGACCTATAAGACCCATAGGCCTCTTGTCGTGTTCTTATAAGAGAACCTCTACTATCCCCTTAAATGCATTTTATATGTAACCTCGTTTCCCCCCTTATTTTCGTTTTAGATGTCTCTTGGTTTAGACGGGTCTAGCATCGTTGATGCCTTATCTCTGCATTCATATAGATTTTTTTTTATTTCTGGTTTCCTTAAAAATGTACAACAAAGGGGACCACTAGTTTCATATTTATGAACAATACAAGGTGACCCCTGGTCCCCCTACTGATGTACAATATAAGGTGACCTGTGGTCCCCCATTATGTACAATAAAGGTGACCCCTGGTCCCCTACTATGTACAATATAAAGGGGTCCCTGGCCCCCACTATGTACAATATAAGGTTACTACTGGTCCCACTACTGATGTACAACCTCTGCTCCCCACCACTGATGTTAAGTACAATACAAGGTGTCCTCTGGTCCCCCTACTGATGTTTAATATAAGATGACCTCTGGTCCCCCACTTTTGTACAATATAAAACCCCCTTTCCCCTCTATGCAAAAAAATGTCCTCTCCCCCTACATGACAATATTAGGTGACCACTGGTCCCCCTACTGATGTACAAATAAAAACCTCTGGTCCCCCCAATGACTAAATAAAAGGTTTTGGTCCCCCTATATGTTTAAAAAATGACCCCGGCCCCCCACTTATGAAAAAAGATACCTCTCCCCCCACTGATGTTAAAAAGCCCTGGCCCCCCATTTCAAAAAGGGGATCTTGTCCCCCAAAAGTAAAAAAGTCCTCTATCCCCCCACATTACAAAATTAGGTGACCACTGGTTATGATGACAAATAAAAACCCCCCCCCCCACTGATGTAAATATATAAATGTCCTTTGGTTTAATGTAAAAAAGGGGGTTTTTTTTAAATCTGGTCTTCCTTTTGATGTACAATATAAGGTTATCATGGTCACCCAAAATGTAAAAAAAGTACCCCTTAACGTTTTTGTTACCTTTGGTATCCGCATAGAGATTATGGGGGGCAAGCCAAGTCTTATATAATTGTACATTTATAAGGATTTTATACTTTAAAAAATTGTAGTATATGAATGAGTCAAAGGTAATCTTATGTTGTACATTATTACGATGTGAAAGTTGTAATAGGCAATAAGTTAAAATCATGGTATGTGTAGAATTATTTTTTAAACCCCTCCAAAAAAGTTGCGACCCTAATTTTTTACAGGAAAAAAGTGCACAATTTCTCCGAATTCTTTAAATATATGTAATTGGAATTTCGAGGATTAGTCAACTTGCTTGTCTTCAAATACAGTATATGCATGCCAAGAGTAAATAACAATTGGTGCATTTTTTAAAGTTTCATTTCTTTTTTTTTAATGTTGTTTTAATTGGTTTATGACTTTGATGTATTAATTCCGGGCAAAAGGGGGGGAGAACTCCATGCAGCCCCAAACTTGAATACAGGGGGATATCTTCTTTGTAAAATAAATAAAATAGGGGTTTAATTACTAAAAAATGCTAAATGATGAGGTCGCCTATTTAAGCATGACCTCATAAGGAAGACAAAGGAGCATTAAATGATTAATTAAAAAATAATTATTCCATTATATTAAAGGACTGGTGAAAAGTCCGAGGGAAATGAAAAGGTTGGGGGTGGGGGCAAGATCTTCATCCTCCCCATGCTTGTTAGAGATCTGCGAATGGAGACTGGACTCGTTTACTCTAGGTCGCTTACTATTAGTAAGGAGATCAGAGGTTAGGCACTGTTTTATATATAGATATTATAACCTTACATGGAATAATAAAATCATAGGGGAGACCACAGGTACCCAACATAATCCATAAACAGTGGCGGATTTAAGGGGGGCGCACCCGGCGCGCGCCCCCTCTAAAATTGTCAAAATTAACGTAAATCACAGTTTCGCCTAGAAAATGTAAATATGTATACTTGGTTGACCTCATTTTTACCCTACAAAATCTCTAGAATCGAGGCTTCCGGGGGCTTCGCCCTTGGGCCCCTCCCAGGGCTTTGCCCTGGACCCACTGGGGGCCTCAAGGCAGACCAGACCCCTTGCCTACTTTTGGCGCCGCCTCTAACTTCAATTCCTGGATCCGCGCCTGATAAATATTAAACTCTTATATATCTTATAATATTGCAGTTAATGTTGCTTAGCACCCCCCCCTCCCTCTTTCTTTTCTAATACCCATCAGATGGTTATTCCTTTGACAAAAATAAATTTTCTGGGTTTTTTTTTACACTGCAAAGGCTTCACGGTATTACGATTTATTCTATTTTCACTTTACGTATGCAACGCACTACATTTTGTAGCGGAGTAAACAGGCCCGATAGTCGTGAACTGAGCAGGGGACCTAAGGTCCTAGTTGAGCGTACGTTTTATCCTTCTGCCAACTGCAGAGTTGTTGATGCAGAAATTTTCAAGTTAATTTTTCGCGAAAGGAATTACGGACTTAACCTTACAATCCGGAGTAAGAAATCAACTTTAAAATGTTGAAAGATCTTGCAAATACTATGCAACTCTTCGCTGCACTTCAAACACCGTCTGTTTACATGTGAATGGCTAAGGGCCCAAGCTAATGTCGAGTAAAAGAAAGTAGGTCATTTTTGAGATTGATTTCAGAATATCTCGAGAAAAATATGGAATTTCGGAATGAGCTTTGGTAGAAATGAAGAATGTTTATCTATGAATAAAATTAAATAGAAAGTAGAATTTTAGAGCATGTGAATAATAAATATTTTATTAGCGCAATTTGGTACCCGGTGTAAGAGTTCAGTACCTTTATTTTTTTTTTTTTTTTTACACACAATTTTCTTTTCAAGCGATCCAAAAGCCTGTGTTCATAATCTATATGAATTGCTTAAAGGGGCCTGGACACAGTTACAGGTAAAAATTTTCATACCATTTTTTATGTTTACAAATACTTAACTAAGATATTTCTAATGATCATCATTTTTTTTGAATTTCAGTTGTCGAGATACAAGACAGATTTAGGTCTCCAAACCTTTGTTATGTAAACAAGGCCCGAGCCATATGTTTGTTTACATAGGTAAAATATGCTAATATGTGTTGTTCAAAGCAGATTTTTCCAATAAGAAATTAATTCTAAATACAATTAGACATTTTCTGATAATTTTCCGAATCTCGTTTTGTTATAAACACGATATTTTCTAAATGTAAACCTTATTTACATTATAAATAATTCTCAGTCCTGTATCTTGTTTGTAAATCAACAAATGATGTTCGAATTTTTGCTGATCATTAGAATTGCCTTACTTAGGAATTGTAAAGAATAAAATTGGTAAAAAAAGAAAAAAATTGAGTTGAAACTGTGTCCATGCCCCTTTTAATATTACATAAAAGTTAGCTGCAATAATGTAGCCCTCTCCGATTTTTTTTGATCTGATGTTTTCTGGAGAGGGCTACAATTCCATCGCATCTCCGTAATGGTGCAAATATTTTTTTTTGATACGGGTGATTGGAGGCAAAATAAATTATTTTTACATTAAACTTACTTCTTATAAGACGGAATTTTTATTCACTGACAACAACATAGCCTGTTAAACTCGAAAACCATGTTAAATAAATCTGTGTCTTTCCCAGCTGCAATATTCAGCAGCCATGACAGTTCACGCGTGACGTAGTGAGACTTTCGCCTGAAATTTGGAACAACCAAATAAAGCAAATGTCGATGTTTATAAACGATTGTGCTATAATATATTACAAAAACATCGATAAATAAAACCATTTCAAGTCTTATTTTTGCGCAAACAGCGATACGTATGCTTAAAATAAGGGAATTCCTAGTAGATCCGCTCCTATAGAACTTAAATTCTCATTGGCTGTCCCAAAATACAATCCATCAAGGTCAGTAAACATGGCGGATAAATTCAAGTTAAGCTGTTGACACACACGAAAAATAACCGATATATGGGTCGTTGTGAATATTTTTGGATCGATTTATGTTTTGCATAATTACATATTTCGATTCCAGGTAAGAGATAATAATAAAATAGCCGTTTACTGATAATTTGAGCCGAAATCCGTGCGGGAGTGATCCACTGCCGCATCTGCGCCATTATAGAGATCCTAAGGAGTTGTAGCCCTCTCCCAAAAAAAAAAAAAAAAAAAAAAAAAAAAAAAAAATAGGAGAGGGCTACATTATTGCAGCTACATAAAAGTGAAATCGCTGTGATATGAAAATACTCGTTTGAACAAATAGAATTCTATTCATATGCATGTGCCTAGTGTATCCAACATTGTAGAAATAATACATGTACTAGGCTACATTCAGAACTTTTTTATATTGGTTTAAGCATGGATCAACGTCCAGATTGATACTAATATAGTTATGAATAAATACTCCCTCTGCATTTGACTTTAGAAGGGAATACAATGTATAGCGGTAATGTACAAAGCAAGTCCACTGTACATATACCGAAACAACATTTTTGGCTGGAGATGCTACAGAAAAAACAAAACAAAAGACAAAATTGTTATTTACAATGTAGTTATACATGTATTCCCCACAGTATAGTCTTTAGTATTAAGATAATTGTTATTCAGTCACCATTTATCTGTTCGTGCAACAAAAGTTAAACATTTAGATCGTGGCTAGATAAATCCAAATCTGAGATATTTACTTATAAAAAAATGTTTGTATGCAGTACTGGGTAAAATTTGATTTACATTTGAAGTAAACATTTTTGTCATCGTTTTTTACAAATGTCCTTATGTATCTGGTTTAATGCCTTTTTAAGATACCATAACGGCCTGTCGTAGATATTGAATTTAAAATACGTCACATACGATCAAGTACCCTGTCCAGCTAACCTACATATTGTATAGGAAAAAACACAACTTTTTAAAAAGCGTTTATGTTATAAAAAGCAAAGAAGGGACAATGTAAGTACCGGTAAATTTAATAATGTCACATTCATTTTCCATGTATTCAATACTTTTAATAATGTGTGATTTTGGCAACCGAATTAACTTTCGTTTTTGATCTCCGTTTGAATTAAATTGAAGGTTTCAAAATTTCTTATTATTTGTAGCTCAAAGGAATTGCATATACATTGTATCCTCAAATTAATCTAAATAATTTAAACTAAATAAAATAATTAAGATATACATTATAACTGCTTTAAAAAAAACAAAGTTAAATATATATACATGTACTTTCCTATTATTGTTCTCCTGCATAAACAGTATAAATGTACATGTATTATCGTGTGAATAGTATTTTTTCCTTAAAGAATATGACAGTGTTAGAAGAAGGGAACATAGATGTCTGTCCTGTTACCAAGGAAACATGGGAGGCACGAGCAGCAATAAAACAGGCGGATTGTGGTGGACAAAGTGTTTATCATTGTCTGTCTGACAGTAAAGGTTGGAAGTGGGAACGATGTGTGGAGAAAACAAAGATTATTGGAGGTATATTACGTCTCTCTCTTTCTCTCTTTCTCCTTTCTCTCTGTCCAAAATTATGTCATTTATATATACACATATATAAATACAATCATGTATTCTAATGAAGATAATTATGTTCCCCAAACGAAGTTGGGGAACATATTGTTTTTACTCTGTTTCTTATTATTATTATTCTTATTATTTTTCTTCTTCCTGGGAAAATTTTGTCCACGAGTGATCTTGTAAACCACACATCCGACTTAGGTGAAACCTTTTTAGGGTCAGTAGGCATGTTATGTAGAGTTGCCATACAAAGGTCATTTTGCGCGCACGTGCCTGCAAGAGCACGCACGTGCAACAGGTGAAATTACCAATATAATGGATATTGCCGTAACTTTTCTATTTTTTGATGAATTTTTTGAAACTCATAATGTAAGGATACATTAGTAGTATAGACAAGATAGCATGGTCAAAATAGCAAGATCTCACGCGCATGCACGTGCGCTTCGCTCTGATTGGCTGAAACTAAAGTCTCAATAACTTTCTTGTTTCTTGTCATAATCCTTTGAAATTTTAAACATAGTCCTACATTATAAAGATCTACCGCATGATATATAAGAAACTTCATGAAAGCATGCGCATGTTCGCGTGCTGCAAGCTGATTGGCTGAAACTTTAAATGGCAATATCTCCTTTGTTTTTTGACGAAATTCTTTGAAATTTAAAATATAGTCATGCATTAGGATATCCTACAAAATGATATAGAAAAAAAGCATGAAATCACGCGCATGCACGTGTGCTGCAATCTGATTGGCTGAAACTTTAAATGGCTATTTCTCCTTTGTTTTTTGACGAAATTCTTTGAAATTTGAAATAAAGTCATGCATTAGGAAATCCTACAATTTGATATAAAAAAAATCATGAAATTACGCGCATGCACGTGTGCTGCAATCTGATTGGCTGAAACTTTAAATGGCTATAACTCCCTTGTTTTTCAACCAAACAGGATGGGATTTAGAACATAGATAGATGTAAGGGACTCCTACAAGAAGGTATGATCATCATGCACGTGCACGCAGGTGCGTGCATTTGAAACGAGTATATTTAAAAATACTCTCGAATGAGTGATTTTTATTACTTTTGGACTGAATGCTTTAATATATAGTATATTAAAATATATAAATAGTGTAGACAAGATGATATGGTCATAATGCACTTGTATTCACATGCGCTTGGGTGCAATGCTAAAAATTGAATATAATTGGTATCCTTCTGGAAAACGTTGTTAAAGTCAAAAATGCACAGAGTTGTCTTATGTAATGAAGCTTACAGGGAATATAGCACCGAAAGGGAGTTGGGGAGCGTTTGGGGAACAGCTGAACGGTTCCCGTTACAATTAGGACTAGTTCACTATATTCTTAATGAATAACAAATTTCTCTCTTTAAATCTTTTCAAGATTAGAATCTTTCTACTCATACTTCATGTATCTCGAGATTTTCAGTCTTCTTCGTCGAAAATTTGGCTGATTTTTCTAGAAGAAAATTGTCCTTAACTTAGTTTTCCTGCTTGTAAATGATCATATATCATTCCAATACGTTATACTTTTTATGAACAATCATAGTAAATAAAAAAGATTACAACTCTATTATTTAAGTATGAAACAGGAAATCAATATCAAGGAAAAAATTACTTATTTCTGTATAGTAAGACGCATTGAACCAGTAATATTGACAGATGATATAAAGATTCGAATTGAAAATATTTTAAATAACACCTACCTTTTTTACTTTAGCTGACACTATTGTTCTATCACACATATTAATTAACAAAAGATTAGAAATGGCAATGTTTGCTGTTTTCTTTCAGGGCAATGTCCGATTTTTACCGCTGATGGCTACATTGACTGGCAGTCATGTAACACTACTGACCCCACGTGTCCAAACAGCACCTATGTATCTAACGAAGTGTATAAATGTAAGAAAGGATGACTGTTTATGATGAACTAATATAATTTCTTGATAACATTAGCGCGAGAGAAAAGCTAATAGAACTGCATTGCCGCGCCTAATTTCAGTGTATTATGTTAAGGTCAGTCAGCTCAACTTCCCAGACAAAATTTTATTTATTTATTTATATATTTTATATATTTATTAATATATTTTTTCTTTCAAGATGCAAATTTTATTTCAGTTCCAAAATGCTTTGGTAAGAATGTCCCAAAGGCAAAAATGTAAGTATTACATGTCTTCTAAATATATCAGCAATTTTTCAGCTTTTTTTTTGTTTGACCGAGTCTTAACATTTATCTATGTAAACTAACTTAAATTTTTTTCCTAAATCTCGATGAGCTTTCAGAAAATCTTTTCCAAACAGCCATATTTTTTGATATCAGTCTTTTAGGCCAGAATGTGGGTTTCTGTAATAAACTGGGGAAAAAACATATCCATTAAATTGTGCTTTAAAATGAAGAACACTTTTAATTTTCTTCCAGAGCTGAAGTTCCAAATGATACGAGTGCAGGGGATTTGTCTGCAGGAGTAATCACTGCCATTGTTTTAGTCATTGCAATCGTAGCTGTTACAGCTATGATCCTCTTTATTTTTATTTATCGTCGTAACAGACGCCAAAAGGGTGGGCATTTCTTTATATATATATATATATATATATATATATATATATATATATATATATATATATATATATATATATATATATATATATATATATATATATATATATATGTATGTATGTATGTATGTATGTATGTATGTATGTATGTATGTATGTATGTATGTATGTATGTATGTATGTATGCATGTGTATACGAGTAATGCCTAGTTTTTATTTTTACTTACAACTGTATTTGCTTTTATAATAATCTTATTTATCATATGCATAACTATTGCTTTTCTACCACCTAGAACTTCATATTATATAAATTTAGGCCTTTGATGAGGTCAATCCATAAATAGAAGATAATGGGAACAAGCCATAAGTTTATCTCTTGTCATTTTTAACACTTAGAGATTAAGATCAAAATTAATTCGAACTGTTTAATGTAATTGTTTTTTCTTTAAATTGAATTTAATAATTTAAAAGGCTACATTTGTTTTATCATGTATTGTATTGGTTTTTGAATAAAAAACCCAGCTCTAATATGTTTTAATATAAAATACATCCTTATTCAGGGCGCTGCTACATCTTACCAATTACTGTATTACAGAACATCACAATTATAGATAGGAGTTTAGGTTTATTTTTTTTCTTTTTCAGAAACATCGAGTTATACACTGCACTAATTATTAATAACAGAAAATTATTTCCATTTCTAGAAACATCAAATCGATATGCATTTCAGAATCTATAAAAAGTCTTTATGTTGTTTTATACTTGATCATATGATCAAGTTTGAGCCAATCAGAGGACATGGAATAAATGAGAAAAATAATATTAAGATAGATAAACCTGGAGAATACATGTAAAACTCTATCAATTAACTTTTGCTTTTTAACGTCCCTCTCAAGACTTCTTTTATTTATATTGAGACACCACCTTTTGGCAGTAGAGGGCTGGAAATATAGACCTATATTTGACACTCAGGACTGTCGAGCAGTGAGGGATCGTTTTCGTAAAAGCGCCTATGGTGATACTGGACCTCATTTTTTACGGTCTCATCCGAGGGTCCGGTCTCCAAGTCCTGCTTTGAGATTCGAACCCGCGATGTAAGGATCGACTCCTTGAAAATGTGTTTGATAGATGAACCTTGAAGTATTCGAAAGGGTTAAAAGGCTCACTGTACAATATTTTGTTATTAAGAGTTTGGTATCTCAAGAATATGTTCTTTAGCTATTGATTTCACCTATTCTCGTTGTGGAAGATAACCACCATATCATAGTATAATATTAAAACACGGTTACTATGAACATGCTTAGGATGAAATCATACTTGCAGCGAAATTATTGCAGGAATGAAGCTTCTTTTTAACACAACTGCTTGTCCCTTGCTCAACTATAATTGAATGTTATTTTTCTTCTACCACTTTTCTACATGCAGATCCTATTGTTCATAATGGTCTGAAGGCACTTTCAAGAAAAGATGGAAAATCGCTGTTTGTGCATGGCAAATTTGGAAATTCGGTTTCCAGTACTTCTCGTCTTATATTGGAGAAATTTATAGAGAACAATGTGGAATGGAAATCTCTAGAATGTCGTTATACAGACATACCAGACAATGTGGAGGAGAATACTATAATGTTTGTGTATGGCTGGTTCGGACTTTGGAATGATGATCCATGCTCAGTAGACAGAGTTAAAAAGGCATGCCAAGATCTAAATAACATATTATGTAAAGATATCAAAATTGTCATTGGAATGAGAACGGAGTATCAGAGAAAATATCACAAGATTGCATGTTTAACTGGATCACCTTTATTTCGTTATGAACTGAGCCTGGATTCAGAAAACTTTGAAAGATATGAAGAGCATTTTCGATTTTTCAAAAAAAGAATAAAAGAACCTTGTCAGAAAGAAGAATGCCATTGTCATGATTTGAAGTTTGAAACTTTCAAAGAGGATCGTGATTCAGAAATAGGCATTCCCTTAAAAATGAATGTACTTGAGAAATACCACAATGTTATCGATGATTATGTGATCAAAGGCAGTCTTTTACAGGCGATGACAGATCACATTACCAGTCTTGAGGGAGACAAAGAAACCAAGAGTACATATCAATGGATTATGTACATATGTTTAAAAGGTCAATATAACAGATCAGAGGAATTAGATACAGAACTGATAAGAACCATGGAATTCGGAATTAATAAGTTATCTTTTACGGAAGACCTCTTGAGTAAATATATAATAATGAAGAATTCAGATCAGCAGAAAAAAGTACCACCAGAGTCTGCACAGTATGTTTTCTGGCATCCATTTATCTACATATGCGCTTTTCACTCACTGTTTAGAACAAATCCGGGCACTGTCATGAAATATTGTAATATTGACGCCATTCTGCAACTCGTTCGTCCAGAAAATTATTTAGACACGTATTTGGAGGTTCGTGCAGACGAAGCCATGATTGACCTGTTTAATCAAAGAATTCAGGCAGAAGGTCTACAAGATCTTTACAAGAACCATCCTTTAGTGATTCTATCAGAAGACACAGAAGAAGATAATATAGACGATGTTGAACAGAGCAGCGAAGAGGGAACGAGCGAACAACAGCCTTTCATTGTATTTTCGCATGTGACCATGAACATGATGAATATGTAACTTTAATAAGTATTCAATTCCCTGTAGTTCATTATATACAATAATATTTCGATGTTTATCTTATAATGCACTAGTGTATATAATGAACATGCATGTACATATCAGTAAACCCAAATTTTGCCCTTGGATTATTCCTATATCCACTGCCACAGAAATATTTGACCAGGAATAGTTTTCCTCATTGTGCTTTATTTAATTATTGTCTTGTTATTTACGATGATGTAACAGTTAACATATTTAATTACATGTATTAAGTGTATTTTAATTATTTTCAAGTGATGATATCTTCATTTATTAATTTAAGCTTTGCAATGTTTTCGCCTTTGATTTATGCCAAATTAAAATGGTAGTATGCTTTATCATAATTCTGATATTGAATTGCATTATAGTTTTAATTCATACTATCTAGTTCAAGGCATTTATAAATGAGTGCTCGTGTTTCTAGTAACAAAACGTATTCTCAGAAAAATATATATTGTCCAAAGCCATTCAGTATGTTTGATGTATGTGCATCTAAGTGTATAAAAACATATATTTAAACAAGTAAATGAAAATTCTGTTGATACAAAGGAGTGAAGTTAAGATGTACATATAAGAATATGTATTTATAACCTACTAAATCAACCATTTACATAAAAACATTATATTTTATCTTCTATTTTACATGTCTTTCATCGTTACTGATGTAGAAGTCGACCCGTTTCTAAGATCACAAAAAGTATTATGACGTGCATCAAAGTCGCTAAATTTCCCTCCGGAACAGGGTTTTCCCTGCATGGACAATTGGCAAAAATAGTCATATAAATAGTGTAAATACATCAGCTTCTCATAATATCTTGAATCAGATTCTAGTACACTTTATCTACATCCGAAATCCAGAACCACGAGGGCTTAGCACTTTTGTTTTTTTTTTTAATGGGCGTCCAGGTCCGTGTACAAGCACCCTAAATATGGTTTTTAAAGTTGGAAATTACATAAAGATTTTAAACTTTAATCCTGTTTTTTTTTTCAACTTAAATTTTGGATTTACAAATTAAATCTTCGCTTTTCCAACTTTAAAGTTACTATTTTCAACTTCAATCCTGGCTTTTCAAACTTAAAGCTGAACATGACTCGTAAAAAGGCAAACGCAACTTTCGATATCAGTACCTCGATATAATCTCGGCATTCATTACACCTGACCGCTTTAATGTCACGGGTATCGGCGTGAAATGGCGACCCGTGTTCATGCTGGTTATCTTGCACTACCTTTGTTTACATTTTATTGCAGTTGTGCATATTTATGTTTCTATAATACTGCACTGACCTGTGCAACTGTTTAAATTGTCTTTGGTACTTTATCTTTTTCTCCTGCTAAAATGTATAAAAGTGCACGATTCTTTTTGTCGCTACCGATTGCTGTATAGCATACGTCCGTCTGCACCGGTGCCAATTGATTGTACTGATGAGTGACTAAGTGACTGCTTTATATAAAGGGACACTCAGATACAGCGAGAATCCGATCGAATATGGCGGACAAATTCTTTTTACGAGTCGTGTTCAGCTTTAATTTGACATCAAACATGCCAATTTTATGACGATATAGGAACATCAACTTTCCGTTAATTAGGGCAAAAAATGACTACGCCAGGTAATTTCTGTACTTAGTATGTGGAGCACCAAACCATCAGTACCGGTTAAGTGTAGAATGACTTTTATCCACACGGGGGAAAGACGGAAATCGTGGAAATAAAACCTATTTCAGACACTGGTTTGTAATAGAATAAAGGATTACTGTACTGATTATCCGATGGAAGGGGAGTTAGACCAAAACAATGATGACAAACTGATGAGAGCAACAATCAGAACGTCATACTGTATATATTACTAGTATATAGAGACCAACTTCTCTAGAAATAGTCAACGTGATCAGGACGGGAAATAGTCTTTTCAAATAATAATTTACGTTATCTTTCGACGACTCTTGAATGTGAAAGAAAAGTGATTTGGTTACTAATTAAAAATCAAACGTACTGTCCAATTTCTGCTTCAAGTAAAATTCTGAAGAAAAGAAGCACAATTCATTGTACTGTGGAAAATGTTTTTATTTGTTGTTTGACGTCCCTCTCTCGAGTTTTTTACTCAAATGGAGACACCACCACTTGGCGATATTAAAAGTTGACCTATACTCGATAGGCACACGGGGCCATTGAGCAGTAAGGGATCTTTTTCATGCTACATATTATGTAGCATCTACTGCAAACGGGACCTCGGTTTATACGGTCTCATTTGAAGGACAGGTCTCCATGTCTCATGCAGCTAATTAAAAAAAAGCATTAAAATTTAAATTTTCTGAGAAAAAAAAAAACACCTATATCTACTGTCCCAATTTTTCCACATGGAGACGGCAAACATTCTGAATTTGGCCCTATCTATAGTAGCTGAAGTTGAGGGGAAGTGTACGTGAAGGAATGTGTTCCAAAGTTCTTTATTTTGGATCTCGACATAAATCATTCCGGTTTCTACCTTTTGTATGGGTATATTTCTGCTTAAGGAGGCTCATTACACCACTTTTTGATGACGTACTACACAAAAAAAATAAACCTCCATTGTGTCGACCGGTTTCCTCTGGGGACGAATTGTACAGGTACCTCTATAATATGACCCTGACCTTTAAAACGCTTTAAAACGCTTTAAAAATAGATGAAACATGCGGTGTTATAAAGAGTGAAAACAAAGTAACAGATTCATTATGCATAAACCAAGAAGAATTGCTGTTAAGCAGAAACAAAAGAAAACAACAGTTATCTTCGCCAAACAAGTAATGTCAATTTCATAGCGATGCATGCAGTGAGCTCTATTAATCAATGACATATTTGTATGGAGGAAATTCAAGTTAAAATCTACAACTTTGTTGAAATTAAAAAAAGTTATTTACTTGCACTATTTACTGTGTTGGTGTTGATTTTTATATATTTGCTTTATTGATTTAAATGTATACTCTGGTAATTTAAAGCTTTGTTCTGAATTTTAGATGTAATGTCAAACGTTTCCTAGTGTTTTGAGTCTTGGGTAATTAGGAAAGATAACTCTTGAAAGTGAACTTTTTATACCAAATATTTTTTAAATTGGATTTTTTATTTCGTTTAAACATTCTTCATTCAATTTGACACATGTAATTCATTGAAATACATTCCTTGTCTCTTCAGAACTCATTTTCTTAATGTTTTATGCATAGATTAAAAAGATAATGACATTTATTGTTTTTTAGGAGAAAATTATTTTTTCTAATAAAATTATCATTAGGTATTATGAGGTATTTTCACTCTGTGTACTAGTACTTGTCTTAAGAAGATGCCCATCATTTGACACTGAAAGTTCTGAAATTCTGTTAATAATAAACTTGAAATAAAACATTTCACTAAAATTAGTCAAAAACTAAAAAAATTTATAAAAAATACTTATGATATCAATACCCCCATCTGGATATTTGACATCTACATTATAAGTGGTGCTGTATTAAAATCTAAAATAAACTGTGGATGTAATGAGCCACCTTAAGTATAAGTATAAATATAGTAGCATAAAGTGTTAAAAAGTTGTGCGTTTCAAGGACATTCTACGATAAAATGACTCATTCATAGTATGAAACATGAAAATAAAATTGTTTCAAATGGCAAAATATAAAAACAACGTAATTCTCTATAGGAGATACCAATGAACTTGAAAAAAAAATGTATACATCTGATGTCGTTTACTTTTTACAACGATTTCAATATACCATAATTCATTAAGGTAACGTTACAGAAGTTAATGCTTGAACAAGTCTTTAGTTATAATTTTTCAATTGAAAGCTGAAATTGGTCATGTTTTTAAAAGTATGATGCATGAAATCTCACATGAATCCGATATTAGGTTATACCTGACTTAGTTTATAGATCTTGATGGTATTTGATGCGTCATGGTCCCGTCCTCAGGTGGATCCTCCTTCCTTGGTTGTTTCGGCGTTGTCCACTTTAACCGCCAGAGGTACGCAGACTGGGGTGATCAAGTCCAGTCCAGAACTTCTCAGCTCTCCGCATTCACTTCAACACAATAAATGATTATTCACAAGCAAACACACAGAGTCTTAGTGTTGCATTTTCCACTGTTCTTTTCTCGTTTTCCATATCCACATGGATGTCACTTCTGCCTCTCTGCCCAGGCTTCCAATAAGTTGCCGCCTCTCAGTGTCTTCACACCGACAATCTGCAAGGCCCTCCACATAGATTGCCCTACAAAACCACGGCATCCAACTTCCTCTCTCCAACGATTCAACTGATGTCACTGGTACATCGTTCACAAGAAGGGGCCAAAGAATTCGTAGAAGTACGCCTTGCTGATATATCTCTGTCTTGTATTTTCCTAGTAAGGCACTTTTGTCTATAATGTTCATCCACTTCTAAAGGTGATTCCAGCTGTTGTCGTTAAGATTCTGTTTATCACTCAGTGAATCGCCAAAGAACTTTCCCAGGCACTTGACTGGTTTTTCTGAGACTGAACGAATAATCTCAACTCCAACCCTGAACTTCTCTCCTTTGACTTTCCCCCTTTTAAAAACGAGGCTTCTAGACTTTGTTGGCTTCATCTTCATATGGCCCAACTGATGATATCCTCTATCTCCTTCAAGGTCCATTTTGCCTCTATGATTGTTCTTGTGCTCATTTTCATATCGTCCCTGAACGCTTGGACAGGAGCTGTCCCACGCCTGTTTTCATCCATGGACCTCTGTTTATCTTCTCCACTGACTTCATCATCATATTCATGGCTGCAGAGAACAGAATTACTAATACTGTACAGCCTGTGGCAATCCCTACTTCTAGGCGCTGTCACGATGTAAAGTCCTGAGTAGAAGTCCTGAGTAGTGAACCGTAATTGAAGCCTGTCAAAGTAACTCTGGATTAGCGTGCGTATCCTGACTGGTATATGGTAGCGTTGTAGGGTAAGTTGGACTAACTTATGAGGTATGGAACCATAAGCATTGGCTAGATCTAACCATATGACCGCCAGTTCTCCTTTCATCTTCATAGCTTCCCGTATAATCTCTACACAACCCGAAACTCCTGGAACTCCTCCTTTCTGCACAGCTATGTCTATGTACTTGTTGGACAACATAAATGTTGTCATCCTCTTGAACAA